TCAGGCTAGATGATCTGTTCAGGTCCCTCCTGACCCTAGCTACTATGAAACTATGAAGTGCTATGTTCTTCTATTTCACTGAGATTTTTTTTATCTCTACTTGCTTATATTAGAGCATTTTTCCCTAGGAGCAAATGGAAGGTTTGGGGGGGAAAAGGTCTTTTCATTAAGGTGTTCTTAGAAGTACAGTATGTGGACATTCTTCTCAGAAACTTGTAAACTGTATTTGAAAGCTGTGGGAAGCAGAAAAGTATTGTAGATGAGGCACTTTCATGGTTTAAATCATGTGCATGCTGGCATACACATTTTTAAGATGCACACCACAACATGGATCTCGCATCACTCACAGGCAACAAGTGGATATTTTGTAAGAACCACAAAGCAGCCTGGCTTCACCTTCACCCATTTGTTGGTCAAGAATATCTCATCTTCACTGTTTCAGGCTTAAGCGCTTTGTCTGAGACTCCCTCTCCTCTCTGTCCAACAGTGGCAATAGCAATTGATTGGAATGCTCTTGCTTTATGTTTGCAAGTTTGGATTCCTTGTATTGGGCAACAGCATCTTCTCAAGAGAAACCTTAACTCTGGAGTTATTATTTTGGCAGCTAAGCGTCAGACTTTAATGCACAGACAAAATGCAAAAAAGAAAAGAATAGGTCCTCCCCTGTGAGACTAAACATAAGAAAATTTAGATCAAAAAGATTATTGAAAGCTACAGAAGGCTTGGACATGGCCAGAATTAGGGCTTGGAATGGAAATTGTTTACAGTTTTAATTATGGAGTCCCACTGACTTCAGCTTTTTATATAAATGCAAGTACCACACACTTTATACAACTCAGGTTATTGTGAATGATCCCATTCATGGATTTGGTTGTTTAGCTAAAACTTTGAGATCAAAGTTATGATGAATCTTTGTCTTTCTAAGTTATAACTAATCCCACTCTCTTCATTTAGGCTTTATAATTCCTGCTGCCTTTAATCAGTGAATAGAACTTTTGACTAAGAAATGATCAGGTCCTTTTTGTACTGTTTTAAGAAGGCACATTTGAAATGCTGGACCTATATTACTATTACTTACTACTACATTAAATTTTTGTTTTATTGACAAGGTTTTTATTATCTGTAGCACCAGAAATACTACGAGGATGCGCCTATGGCCCAGAGGTGGACATGTGGTCTTTGGGGATAATCACCTACATCCTGTAAGTTTAGATAGCAATCGTGAGTGCTGTCTAGATTTTGTTTTGACCTGTCGTAATGGCAAGTGAAAAAATTTGCAATTTGTTTTCTAAAAGTTATATGTTAATGGTATTTTAAATTTGTTATAGATAAAGAAGCATTGAAAAATGTCAAACTTTGTCTTATGTAACATATTCCTCAACTAAATTATGACAAACACCTTCAATTAATAATTTTTTTTTTAATCTCACCTATTTTTGCCATTTATGATGTTTGCTTTTTGCACTCACTCAACAATAAAACTGATTGGTCTGCTTATAACAGAGGTGGGCAAAATGCAGCCTGGGGGCCAGATGCAGCCTGCCAGGCCATTCTATCTGGCCCATGAGGCCCCTAAAAAATTTAGAAAATTAATATGAATCTGCCCTGGGCTGCCTGTCATGCAGCCCTCGATGGCTTGCCAAAACTCAGTAAGCAGCCCTCTGCCCAAAATAATTGCCCATCCCTGATTTATAAGCATGCTTATGTCATTGTTCTAGCATTTATTTGGGTTGCAAAAGTCCAAGAGATGTGTTTTCACTTTGATTTTTCACTAATATATTTTAATAATTTGACATAAGTTTTGTAAAATTACTTTTCCTCTTCAGTAAAACTTAAGTTGATACTTTAAATTACTTATGTAGCCTTTTTAAGGTACTTCATGCAAGGATTAACCAATTGATAAAAATGAAATCTCACCATATTTGAACATATGGAAGATTCTTTTTTAATCATTGTTGAATACAATAAATAGATACTAAAACTTTTCCTTGTGTTTCATATTCTGGTTTGCCTGTTTAGATAATAATCTCTTTGGGGCAAGGACCATGTAAAATATTTGTCAGCATTATATGAACAACCAAGAGTTGAAGGCACCATGTACATTATAAATAAAAGAGGCAATGCCATGAGTTTCCACTAATAAGTACTACTGATATGCCATCATATCATGGATATAAACTTTGTCATCATCATTTTGTACATTCCTGTGCAGCTTTATAGAAGCTATGGCTCATTCCGCATAGCTAGAGCTAGTAGGGTTAGAGACTGGGCAAGGATTTGGACCATGTGTATGGTTATGACTTCCCAAGCTAAGTTTAGGGCACAGGTAGATAGGGCTCTACTGGCTACATTTAGGCAGGTTGCATCGTAGAACTCCCCCAGCTACATAGGCACCTACATAAGAATCATCTGGTTTTTACTGGTGAATGTAGGTTTTTTCGTGCTGCCTAGATGGAACTTTTCTCATGTAAGTCTTTGACAATGGAAGGTTATTGTACACATTTTACATCTTTTCTGCTGACCTTTTCCTTCCTGGATGAACATATGACTTCTATTCATTTTTTGGCCACATTGACAATTGGTTCCCTTTTCTGTTTTGCTGTGTGTTATATTTGCAGAATGCAGTTATTGGGTGTGTCCCCACGAGCATGGACTTGCAGTCTGTGGCACCTCAAAGCAGTTTGAGGTACTGTAAACTGCATGTGTCACATGTGCAAGTGTTTGCCATGCTGCTAGTTTACAGCACAGCAGGTTTTTTTACACCAAGAGATCCCAGTGTCAAAAAAAACCTGCCACTGAAAAAAGCAGCGCAGCACACACTGCAGCAGTGTATACCACCAGAAAAGGAGCCTGGCCAGCCAGAACCACACTCTGGCTGCCAGCCAGGCTCTGAGCAGCCAGGTTGGCACTGCCGCTGCCCCTGGGGACCTCCAGAACCCCAGGTGAGACTGCTGGGGCTAGCACAGGTGCTGGTGCTAACCTCCCCTGCCCCACCTGGTTCACTTTGCTGTGCATGCAGGGGCATACCCAGGAACAAACAGCAGTGGCAGAAATATGTACCACTGCTATTTGTCCCATGGGAAATGCAAACCCCTGCACATGCACACTCATGGGGACATGCCCATTCAGGTTATCCTTGGAAAGGAAAATGAAATAAGATAAAAGGTACACATGCATATTATCACAGCATTGCTGGCAGGGTACCACTGGAGCCCCAAGTTTCCCTCTGCTGTCCCACTGCTTATCTCAAGGAACAGACCAAGAATTGCTCTGGGACAGCTTACCCCTGCAAGCCTCAGCTCCACTGCCCTTTGACCAGACCACACAGCTACAGCAGGGGAATCTTTGCCACCTCTCGGTGATTTTCCCTTTAGTCATGTAAGAATTCTAGGTACCGCCTCTGTAGAAGGGGCTAGCCTGGAACATCATACACTCTGAGATCATGCTTTTCCATAGGCAAACAAGATAACAAAAGGATTTATTCTATAGGAGAAAAGAATTGTAGAAGAAAAATTGGCCATATAGTTTGAAGATAGAGTACACAAAACCAGATAAAATTTCTCACCCTCTTTCCTGACTACAGCACAATCCTTCAGGGAGTCTTCTTAGAGTTTCCAGCCTTTAGCCTTCCTGCTAAGTCTGCCAGCTCTGACGCCTGAAATAATCCAAAGACCACCACTAGCTCATAGAAAGCTCTGAAATACCTCCAGGCTGCCCCTCCCATCACCAGCATTGTTCACTTTGGTGAAAAGTCTAAGAATTCTCTTGAAAATACTTTCTTTCCTGGAGCTCCTGAAACTCCCCTAGCTAAGGATCCAGCTCCCTGAGATGCTTTGTTATTGTGGGGCTGATATTTTCCATTATAGATAGGCAATACTGTTGGGTGCCCATCCCAACAGTAGCCCTTTTTGCTTGCTGGCCAGGGGAGTGGTAATGTTCTTAGCCAAATAGGCCCTTTTCTTTAGGCATGTATGCCTCAGTTCCTTTTACATACGACTGAGTCTTAGATATGTAGCCATAGCCTTTGAGTAAGCTATGTCCAAAATGTAAAGACCCATACAGACAGCAAAGCATAATCCATACAGAGATACAAGTGAAGTAAGTGAATACAGCATAACATTGGCTTTTGAACAGGACCAAACATGAAGTTACTCAAATCAGCCTTGGGACAGGCATCTCTGAGAGACTCTCTAAACCTCAAATCATTCCTGC